TAATTATAAGAGTATGCCACCTTATTTGGACAAATTCTTTTCTTGTGTGTGTCCAATTCAAGTTCAAAATTTTTAAGTATTTATTAGCAGAGACGACTTTTTTTGACCATCTGATCAGTAATGGTGTATGACAGGCTGGGGAACATTCCAAAATAATATGTATAGAAAGTTTTTAAAATATGTTCTAATGTTTTTAATAAGATAATTATGAATAAATCATGTTAATGATGTGTTTTCCCTTAAACTATTTCCTTTGGTGGTGGTATGAGTGAGATTTAACTTCTTCTGGAAAGGATGTAGGATACAGGCATCAACTTCATTTTATCTGAAAGGCCATAAGTTTAACCATGGTCTACTCAAACATCTCTGTGAAGCATATAGGTTTCCTTTTTCTCTCCAATTTATGTCTAAATCAACTCTGATGACCTAGTATAATGAAAGGGTCAACATCTCACTCTTCACATGACATGTGGAGCAGGACATTACAAACAGTTTGTGATAAAGTATGAGAGAATTCATCAATGAGAACATCAAATATGAAGAATCAGAGTTTATTTCCTGTAGATAAAGTAATATTACACTAATTTAATAATAGGAACTCCTTTTTCTCCAGGAGTAAAATTTGCCTGCTAATGCCTATCATTAATATTCATAGTGATTTACTTATTAAAGGAATCCAGAACAGTGGGCTGCAGAGTTGATATTTAGGCAACCTAATTGGCTTGTGATAGGCACTAACAAAGATAATTTAGCTAATTACATTAGTGAAATGAACTTAACTCATAACCTTTTTTTTTTTTTTTTTTTTTTTTTTTTTTTTTTTGGTTTTTCGAGACAGGGTTTCTCTGTGTAGCTTTGCGCCTTTCCTGGGACTCACTTGGTAGTCCAGGCTGGCCTCGAACTCACAGAGATCCGCCTGGCTCTGTCTCCCGAGTGCTGGGATTAAAGGCGTGAGCCACCACCGCCCGGCTAACTCATAACCTTTTTATATTTTGGTTTTCTTGATTTTCTACGTAATTTACTCATAACAACTTCTCCTATGTGAATGGAAAAACTTTGGACTGAATCTAGCTCAAAATTAAAGTTGCTCAGAGCTACTTCCTTTCAAAAAGTTTCTCTTCAAGGTGTCGTCAGTTTCACCGATGGCTAAAGTCTGTGGAAATGTGTCTCCTTTGGTCTTATTCAAGTTATAAACAATGAGTGTGGAAATGTCCATGGCTTCAATTTTAATTCTATGAGTTTCTGAAAAGGATAACTAATACTACACAGTTTAATTACCATAATGAAAAATTAAAACTGATTCTCTTATCTAGAAATATAATGAAAATTACTATCTCCATTTTCTATTCCAAAAATTCCTAAGAGAGTTTACATAGATGAGTTTATACAAACACTGAGGTTAATTCTGCCAGTTTGTGTATACCATCATTTCAAAACCATAGCAGACTTGGTAACATTCCCCATCAATCAGCACGTGCACAATTGTGTGGTCCAAATGTTTGGAATCCATTTATCATACTGGTAATTTTTTTTTCTAAATAAGAATATTGAGATAGGGTGATGAATATTTGTAAGCCCAGAACGAGGGAGCCTGAGATAGAAGGATCATGAGTTCAAGGCCAGCCTGGAAACATGACAAAAATTTACCTCAAAAATAAATACACACATTACATAAATGCTTATGGGAAAATCAACATCAATTGTTACCTTATCACCTTGCATAATATCATCTTGTTTTCCTTCCTGATGTTTAGATTTTGGTAAGAACCTTGATTTTGTTACACACCAGATGAACGTGCATGTTGCCAAGCAATCTTCATTAGCCAGTCTCATACACAAGGGTACCTAATAATCTTTTGGTGTGGAAAAAGTCTGGTTCATCCCAGAGAGAGAGAGAGAGACAGAGACAGAGACAGAGACAGAGACAGAGAGACAGACAGAGACAGAGATAGACAGAAGATAAAGACAGAGACAGAATATGTATGTGTTAAAGGGGTGTGGCCTTTCTAAACATGAGTCATCACCCAGCTAAGTGATTTTCTTAGCTCTCTGAATGAACTATGTAAACTACCACCATTGTGATCTCCAATTTCACTTGAGTTGTCCAGTTCTATCATGGATCTGCCTTTGATCAACCCTATTTGCTTTCAGAATACATTTGTTTATGATAGGACCTTGAATTTCACAGTACCCAAATAATTAAAAACAGCAAATTATCAGCACACTAAAGTCTGTGGTCCCTTTATCTGTGAAAAAGTACGGGCTTCATGAATCCACTTTGTAGTAGAGTACAAAACATTATTAATATAAAAAATTAATTAGCTAAAAAAGAACTAGTATGCACAGCAATTTTGAAAACCACCAGTAAAGGACAAGATTTCCCACTTGAACAATTACTTGAGTTTGTAACTAGCAAGTTGTTTTGATCAGCAAGGACCCAAGAAGCCCATTATTACAAGCATTTTCTCTTTGACATGGCAAAAATGTGTATTGTAGATATTGCCACAAAGTTTTGCTGTCATTTAAATTGAGGATATTTCCAGGAAGGAGATTCCTCCAGAACACATGTGAACTTTGAGAAAAGTCACAGGATTATAAATGCAAGTGGCCTGTGAAAAGGCTGTTGGAGAAAGGGTGGGCCTGACGGAATGCCACCAATACATAAGGGGACAGCCTTTGTGGTCAGATGCATGCCCAGGACAGAAATATGGCTATGCACATCTGATCGGTCTCCATGGAACTGCTGTCAGTATAGAGTGGGCTCACTGACTCTGGACTCCATGCCATGCTTGGCTTTCCTGGTTTTCTTTATCTAGCCTCTTCCTGAAGTTCTAAGAGGATTTCATAACAATTATAGTCCATCAAGTTGGGAAGCTTGACTGGTGGTCCCCAAAGTATCTTTCTATTTGTAACTAAGACAGTTGGAGATGAATGTTATTTCATTTTAAAATGAACTGCTTGGAGGATAAAATCAGCACTCAGCAAGTCTTTCAAAATATATCCACATGCAACTGCTTCTGCTTCCAAACCACTGTCCTGCCTTCTCTGGACATGAACCAGACAGGCAGAGTGCACCTGTGAGAATGGATGTTTCTCCTTTTGAATCCCCTGTAGTTCACAGGTTAATGCCTCCCTTTGAGGAAGATCCCTTTTCACCTCCCTGTGACGTTATCTGGCTGTGTCTATTAAATGCAGCAGGATCTACACCTTTCATAGTCCAAGTTCTCAACATTCTTCAAGGCCCTTTGCTGTTTCTAGAATATTCCAGAAACTCCCACTTCTGGGAATTTGTATTCTTCCCATTTGGCAGGGAACCCTCTTCTACTTAAGGCTTTTTTTTTTTTAATTTTGCTGTTGTTCTCATGCTACAGCCCTATCTTGCTGTTACCTTCTCACACAGATAAGTCCTCTGTGCTCTGCTCATTCATTCTTCCCTGCATCCTAGGATCTTGAGCAAGAACTGAAGTTTTTACAGTTTGCCCTTCTCAGAATAACCATTGCAATATATAGTAATATCTTTTCCAGGTTGGTTTCTTTCTCTTAGTTATGTGAGTTCAAGTTTTTCCCATGTCTTTTTTTTTGACAGCTCACATCATTTAATGCTGAATAAATAAACCTTATTCTCTAGGTTTACCATAGCTTCTTTATTATTCACTTGTCTACTAAAGACATCTTCTTTACTTCCAGCTCAATTTCTGCATAGAACATACCAGCATCTGACATACTCCTTACTTGACTTATTAATTTGGGGATATAACTTCTACATCCCCAGTTCTAACATAACTTTCATGGTAGTGTGGCACTCAGCCCATGCACAGTGGAAAACAAATGTATGTTCAACAAAAGGATAATAGTAAAAGCATTTTCCAGTACATACAGAAAGTACTCGATTGTTCTCCAATCATATGCCACACCATGATATATAAAGTATATTTCCAGTGTTGCAAATGTGAGAGAGAAGTAAGCTATTAAGGATCTATCTAAAGTGACTGGCTCTGATTCTGGAATGCAGTAAGGATCCTTCAGATACTTGCTTTTATACAAAAACATGCAATCTCTGGGAGAGCAGAGAGCCATCTGCCTCACTCACCTTGTACCATGCTTTGGGTGCCTGAGAATGATGCTTTCCATACGAGATTCTCCAACCACGTTTGTTACATGGGTGAGCAGTACATCTCAACTTAAAGATTTCCTCCCTCCCTCCCTCCCTTCTTCCATCCCTCCCTCACTCCATTCCTCCCCATTCCTTCTCCTCCTGTACCCTATCATCCCCTTGCTATATACTCTTGTCTATCATATATACTCCAGCGTATACTTGAACTCACAATGCCCCTGCTTCAGTTTCTGAAAGGCTTATGTTACAGAAACACACTCACTGCCATACTTGGCTGAGATTTTCTTAATATATTGCCAAATTATCTCTCAAATGCTTTGATAAAACATAGAGGTGGGTAATCATTTACTTTTGATACAATTACTTTCATATAAGCACAATTCTGTGGCGGAGTTTAGTTCAAGCTCAACTCTAATTTGTTGCTACGATTTGAAAAACAAAATTATTTTATGTTCTCTATGGAATTTGCTGATATGTTAGTTAGAGCAATATAAAGAGGAAAAAATTCATCAATGTGTAAAGTACTTTAGGATCATATCACATGGAGGGAGAACCTCTAGACACAAAGAGAAATAGATGAGCAAGCTCCTAACTGGCTGTGGTGTTTGAATGGTCAATGGCTATTTGTTGAATAACATCAGGGTAAAACCAAACAAAATTGTCCTCTTTTTTAGAAGTGGCAGATGTGGAAAATCTCAGCAAGACATAAAATAAGATGACAGAGTTCTTTATTAGATGCATCCTCTTGTCCTGAACCAAATGTTAAAACAAGAGGGCCTCTATCTTATTCAGGAAGTCCAGAAGGCTGTGTTCAGTGAAAGAAATATATAACATCTTTTATGTATGCACATAACACACAGCAGGGAGGAAGTTCTCATAAACTTACCCATCATTGTTAACATCTGATACCACCACTGTATATCCGAAATAAGATGCCATCTGCAATACAATAATAATTTTTGTGTTCAGGAAGCCATGCTTATAGTCACCTCTTAATTATTCATGAGAAATGCCTTTCACTGTGGTACATTTTTTTCCATTTACATTCATAGACCCCTGAACCTGTTCCAAGTGTTCAAGTCATTTAGTCTAACCTCTGACCTAATGAATAATTCCTTCCACAATAACCCTGACATCTGCTTGCACAGCCTCTGGATACATTAGGCCCATTCAATTCTGGGATATAACTGTTAGGATGGTCTTTGCTACTTGTAGTCTTTCTGTGATATCTAGTGCTTTAACTTGGATCAGCCATCTTGAACCCCACAGAATCAACTCAATTCCACCACATGTGGAGGAATTTCAGGGCATTTTCAGATATGACACTGTCCAGCTCTGAGATTCCACATGGCAGACTCAATGAACATTGCTGTGGGATGTATTTCTGTACACTGTGAATATGTGTTGCTATGATTGGTTAATAAAGAATCTGACTGGCCAATAGTGGAACAGGATAAAGTTAGGCAGGAAAGTCAAATTTGAGAATTGGCTTTCTCAATGCTGGGAAGGAGAAGGGTGGAATTAGGAGTCACCAGCCAGATGCAGAGGGAGCAGGAGATGAACATGCCTTGCTAATAAAGGTACTGCCATGTGGCAGAGCATAAATAAGGAATATGGATTAACTTAAAATGTAAAAGCTAGTTAGTAATAAGCCTGAGCTATTGGCCAAGCATTTATAATTTTAAAAAAAGTCTATCAGAGACTCTAGGCCTATAGGCTGAAGATGGATACCCCAACATTGCAGAGGAACTTTGGGTGACTGTCCAGGCAGCTAGATGTCTCTGTCATTTCTAGAACTTTGGAAGTTGCTTACAATGCACTTCCTGTTTACTTAGATAATATTATATTCTTCTGGGGTGTCTGATGTAGTTAAAGACTAGATAGTTATAATTTTCCTTGGTTATAATAAAAGATAAATCAGATATGAGACTTTAGACTCACAAATATAGGATAGATGATAAAATATTTTCTTTAATTTTGCCAAATACAAATAGACTAGATATTGTAACTGTAATTCTTGCTTGATAGCTGTTCTATTATACGTAATTTTACTATGTTAAAGTTAAAACCTTCCTGTTTGATTAGACAGAAAAGGTGAAGTGTTGTGGGATGTCTTTGTGAATATCTGTTGTTATGATTGGTTAACAAAGAAGCTGCTCTGGCCTATGGTGAGCCAGGCAGGAAATCCAAGAGAGACAGGAAGCAGAAGGGCAGAGGCAGAGGAGATGCCAGCCTGATGCCCAAGGAACAACATGCGAACAGATGGGTAATGCCATGGCCACATTAATAGAAATGTGTTAATTTAAGATGAAAGAGCTAGCTAGCAAAAATTATTAGCCATAGGCCATACAGTTTGTAATTAATATTAGGCCTCTGAGGGATCATTTTATAAGCAGCTGTGGGACTGTGTGTGAGAGAGATTTGTCCAGACTGTGGACCAGGCAGAACACAAGAAATCTTTTGACTACACAACATATGGTACTCATAAGTTCAATGACAGAAAAACTAAGCAGGAATTATGCTATCTTGTTTGGCCTCTATATTATTAAATCACAAAATGATTTTAATTTTAAGGAAATCTACAATTCATAAATTATAGTAAGATCATATTTAATAAGACTCAAATCTTTTCAGTGCGTGTAAATGCATGTAAATGCTGTAAAATAATCTCCCACAGTTTTCCCTCAGAATTGCTTTTAAATAGTTTTATAATTCATTCAGTCTGGCTCATCATTTCATTTTACCAATGTTGTTCTTTATGTGTGTATGTGTTTGTCTACATGTTCATGGGTGTGTGCAGGTGCCTGTGTGTGCACATGTAGGTGAAGTCAGAGGTCAATATTTGGGTTTCTTCCTCAATTGTTCTCTACCATATTTTTTTTGAGACAGAGACTTTTCCCAAATCTGGAGTTTACTAATTACGCTAGCCTGTCTTGGCAGCATTTTCTTTTCTCTTGTTCCTCAGCAGTGAGGTTGCACATATTTACCACTGTGCCTGCCCCTCCCTCAGTGGGTACCAGAGACAGAAAACCAGATGCTCATTTTCACATCACAAGCATCTGACCAAACACTGTAGCCCCACTTTCATTTCTTTAGTCTGTGATCTGATATTTTAGCTGACTTATCCTCACCATCCACTAATTCAATCAAATACAGCCCACTAGAAGCTATGCTCCATGGAAGGCAGACTTCAGTCTGTTTTGAGCTTTTTCCTTCCTGCAATGCCTGAGCAATGTGTGGAGCAGAATACACTCCATTGTGACACAAAATCCCTCCAGAAGAACTGCTCAAAACTTACCAACCCATTCGCCTCACTGTCACCCCAGCCTCATTTATACCTACCATCCAACAAAGTTCTAGGAGACGTATGAAATAACTTGTTGAAAATTTCATCACAATGGGTACCTGGACCCTCAAATTTTGACAGCAAGATATGAAAAGCCCTTTCTGCCCATTTAAGAACCTTGCCAATTGATTTTCTGGACATGGCTCATCTACAGGGCAGGGTTATCTTCAGTGCTTTAAAAAAATGGAAAATTTCATCAAGTCACAATACCCAGAGAAACCTAGGATTCAGACCATCTTTGGTTGGGAAGGTGGTAGCATTCTGTGTTCAGGCCACTGAACTCTTCACAAGAGTGACTCAGCTAAGAACAGGCTATAGAGATAAATGCCTGATTTCTTCAAGGAAGGAACATAAAACAACAGTGTTCCAGGACTGTATATAAAGTTGAGGCTCAGAGGAAGGCTTAGTGTGTAGTGAGGAAGAGAAAAAACCAGGTTCACCCACTCTGGCCAATAGGGTAGGACCTGGGAGTAGCCAGTCTACTGTCACAAGGAAGGAGGTTTTGAGAGCTCACCCTTGGTGTACATTGAACACCATCTGCAATAGAATGAGATTGTTCTGTGGTCTCATCATCTGGTGGCTTTTTGCTTTTGAGCTTTACAGTGGGTTGTGCTGTAGAAACTTGGCTTATTGGCTTGCAATGAGGGAAGCTATGAATCCTAAATACTAAACACATCTTGCGATTCTTTCCTTCCTGAAATCCTTGATAATAATCATGGAGAAGAAAGAAAACCAACGTGAATTTCTTCATATTTCAGTTTCTTGCCAGGAATTTCTGGATGCAAAAGGAAGCATTTGATTTGCTCTCTTTAGCGTCCCTCCAACACACACATACACACAAATAATGGCCAAGGGTTAGCTCAGGGTAGAGCACATAGCTAATGTGTGCAACGTGCACACATACCTACTCAAACACCCCATTGACAGGAGCCTCTGTCCTTTATTGAGGATTTCCAAGAGCTTCCAAATGGCCTCTTTGCTATTCCCAGTATTCAATGCCAGCTCTACCTGAGGGTGCCATTTATCACTAATAATTACTTAGCCACCTCATAAGACCTTGGTCTTATTGGTTTTGTTTCATGTGTTTTGTTTTGATTTTCTTTTCCCTTCTTTTTTTGAGAGACAGTGAGAGAGAGACAGAGACAGAGAGAGGTGATGAGGCTGGGTGGGTAGGGAGGACTTGGGAGGAGTTGAGGGAGGGGAAGGAATGTGGTCAAAATATAAGAAAAAATTAAAATAATAAATAAACAATTCTTTCTTTTGAAAAAGACCCTGGGTTATTCCTTCCATGGCTTCAATTAAGTCTTAGTCTTAAACATATTATATAGTGGTCAAGGGGCTATTCTGACAGAATATGGAGTCCTTTCCCTGCTAATAAGTGGTTCCCTGGTGGGCTTGCCCTTATTGCTCCTTGAAAATCCAGAGCTCATGCTGGGCATGGTGGTTCATGTGCATAGTCCTAGCATATGAGATGAAGAGGAGAGGGGGTTTTGAGTTACATAGTGAGACTATCAAAAGCAAATAAGGGCTAAGGGTTAGCTCAGGGTAGAGCACATAGCTAATGTGTGCAAGGACCTGTGTTTTATCCTCAGCACCACAAAGAGATAAAATGAGCTCAATGCAGGTTGTTAGTGTCAGGTTGTGCATTGAATTTCATAAGTGGGTATGGCAAAACCCCTAAAACTAGAAGATTCTAAACTAGGGCTTATAGGAGGTGTCACACCTTTTACCAGAACCCTCAGTTCTGACTTATTTCTTGCTTCCTTGTAGCCATTGCAGCCCTCAGAAGCCTCAGATTTGCCCAGCTAGTTCCTGTGTGAAAGCCTTCACATCCTCTACCACTGGCTTTGTGTTAGACATTCTGCTGTAGAGGCCTCCAGCCTTTGGACTATCCCCACCATATTATCTAATTCTGTTTCATTTTCTTCAAATCATTAATCACTATCTAAAGCTGAATCAACTTCCCCATTCTGCTTCTTCCACACACAGCTGCTTGAGGGCTGGGATTGACTAGGTGCACCATTGTATCCAGTGTTCATTATTTCCTGAATGAATGACTACATGATGTGAACATTAGCCATTTTGCATTAAAATGTCTTTCTTTTAGACTGGGTATAGTGGTATACACCTGAAATCCCAATGATGGGGAGGGTGTGGCAGGAAGACTGCCATGAGTTCAAGACCAACCTGGGCTACACAGTGAGTTTCAAGATAGTTTGATTGAGGCCCTGTCTCAAAACAACAACCAAAAAGTCTTTACCTGTTCACCAGTAAAATTCTGAATGAAAGTCATATCTGTGGAATTAATGATAGAGACCTGAAATTGCAAAAGTGAGACAGTACATCATTTGACAGAATCAGAGAAGCTGTTTTTAGACAATTGAAACTTAAATAATTTAAAATTCTTACGAAGTATAGTAGTTGGTTAGCCATATGCAATAGTTACAAAATTGTAAGCTGTCAAGAATAATCTTAGAAAAAGGTAATTGAACATGCTTATGATTCTAAAGAGGAGAAATAATTAAAAACAAGGATACAGGCAACAGTTAGCATGTTGGTCAGTTAATTTGTCTGATCACTATTTTGTTCTAAACAAATGTTTGTGCTTATGCTATTATGAGGACTAATAAATGGCTCTTTGGGAAAATAAGCTTTTTAAATGCTACCCACATAGAAAAATATCACTTTTAATTCTATTCAGTCAAACACAAACCTACAAATTGCATGTTGTCTAGATTGAACTTTATTTAAATTTATTTTTTGACACAGGGATTCACTTACAACATAAGTTGACCTGGAACTTCCTGTGTAGTCTAGGCTGACCTCAGACTCTGGATTCTTCTGACTTATCAAGCTCTTGAGTGGTTGATAACAGCACCACTGTGCCCATCTTAGATCCTTGTATGGCTGCATGCATATGTTTGTGTGGGTGCAGTTGAACATGTGTACATGTGCATGTGGAAGCCAGAGGTCACCATTCCTTGGGAGACATCTACCTAGTTCTTTGAAACAGGATCTCTCTTTGGCCTGATGCTTACCAGCTGAGCTAAGCAGACTAGCCAGCAAGTTCTAAAGGGGTTAGCCTGTCTCCACCTCCCTAATGCTGGGATTACCATGTCTGACTTCTTTTACATGGGGTCTGAGGATCAAATTTAGGTTCTCTTGCTTCCACAGTAAGCATTTAAGTGACTGAGCAATCTCCCTCATCCCATATGTCCTTATTTGTGGTCTCTTTCTATGTATCTTTCTTTTAACTTCATGGTAACCAGTTATGATGGGCTTACATATTACCCATCTCAAACCTGACACTTTGGAATGTGCACTTATTTTCAAATACCTTTGTAGAGGAGTGAGTTAGGGACTTGGAGAAAAGTTCACTTTTTGTGCAAGGAGAAAATAAATACAAATATACAAGGATTTTTTTCTGTGTGTTGGATAATTATGACTCTTTGCAAAACAAAATGCACCCACATTTTTATTTCACATGAACCCCCAGAAACCATGCAACTAATACAATTGCATTTACTTCCTATTGAGTTGAGTAGGAAGACAGCACACTCCTGTAGTAGAAACTCATTAATAAAGGACATTTAAAATGACTTAAAGTTACATGGGAAAACCATTTCAGTGCACAAAGATCTGGAATATATCCTGGTACTCACGTATCCAAAGTTCTGTGCTCCTCTTGGAATCCCAGCAACTAATTCTAGGGATAAGAAGAGTCATTTAGAGGAGGAACCACATTAATTAATTAATTAATTAATTAATTAATTAATTAATTAATTAATTAATTAGTGTGCTTGTATATGTGTATTCATATGTATGGGTTCACATTAATTAGTGTGCTTGTATATGTGTATTCATATATATGGGTTCACGTTTGCAAATGCCAAAAAGTCACAGTAGAATTTTGGGTGTTTTTTTTTCCTCAGGAGATGTCCACATTGTATTTTTGAGACAGGGTATTTTACTAGGACTTGGGGCTTATGAAATTATTTTGACTATCCTGCCTGGCTAGTGAGCCACAGAGATCTACCTGCTTCTGCCTCCCCAGCTCTGGAATTATAAGCACAAGCATAAGTCTCAATGGCCTGATGAACTGTTTGAAATGTCTTTGATAGTGCCTTTGTTTTACAAATTCTCAACTCACATAAAGTCTGAATGCATTTTCTAGATATTTCTAAAATCCAATGAAAGTTACTGTTAGTCACTAGAGTGGTTTTAAACCCTTACTTTTTTCCTTGGGTGGGAACTGAGTGTTATTTTGGAGAGCTGTGGGAACCCAACGCCATGATATAGAAAAAAGTCATTCAGCAATTCCTTACAATTCCCTTGGTAAGCCATTAGGCCAGTGGTTGAGAGATTCGACTTTTTAAAAAAGTCACTAGTTATTCAGACTCTCCCTGATGGCCTCTGATCTACTGATGCTTTCCTATAGCAAATCATTGTACTGTTTTATCAATATATAGAATTACATGACTTAATCCTTGTAAGCAATACTATTATTATCACCTATATTTTAGAAATAAAGAAATGGAAGCTAAAACATTAGATAATTTGTCTCAGATCTTAAAATTAGTAGCAGTGAAGGGCTGAAAGCCAGAGCTCCGGATTCAAAGTCCATGACCTTTGTTACTACAATATACTGTGTTTACTTGTTTATTTTTGAGGCAATATCTCTCTGTGTAGCCCTGGTTATCCTGGAACTCCCTATGAAGATGAGGATGGCATTGAACACACAGAGAGCCACCTGCCTCGGCCTCCCAAGTTCTAGGATTAAAGATGTGTGCCACCATTCACAGATTAATATACTGCTTTTTCAAGTCAGAATTTGAAATTGGCTCCAATTCTTACTATCAAGCTATTTATTTTATGAGTCTTTTATGAGCAAATATTGTCTATTCTTTAAAATGGAGACAAACAACAATAAGACATGGATCTTACAGTTAAAAAACTAGATGTGAACATAGCGTGTAAAGTAATGGAAAGAAAGTCTCATTTAGAATTAGCTTTTATTTAAAGAAAAGCATTCCTTTCTAGAAATCTGATTATTTTGAACTTTTACAAAACTGCAAAAACATTTATATTGAATTTTGATTTGTGTACACATGAATATGAAACTATTAAAAGATCTTTTATGATTCAAAAAGATAGCCAGATTTTATTTGTGCTTGAACATCTGTGCATTAGTCAAACTCATGTAATAGAGAAAATAGTTAATGTTGATATGAAACAAGATAGACAATGGCAAATATTGATTGGCAGCTGACTCATTCAATAAATATTACTAGTTCAGTATAAGCGCCTGTCTTGCCTTAAATGTAACATGCATTTAGTGCAACATTTGAAATGATAGTTCAGGCTCCATAGCATCAATGTTATTCAGATAGAAGCAAATGACAATCAAGAGGTTGTGGTACCCTAAAAAATACTGTCAGTAAAGTCAGAACTTAAAATTGACTTAAACTCTTACTCTCAGGCTATTTATTTGATGAATCTTTTATGAGAATATTGTCTAGTCTTTAGAATGGAGACAAATAACTATAAGACATAGATCTTACATTCAAGAAGCCAGATGTTAATATAAAAATGTTATATATCATGCTATTCTTCCCAAGCAAATTTACATGAAATAACAAGTGTGGTTTCCTTCTTTGTTTTTGTTTTGTTTTATATTGTATTTGCTCCTCTGTTTAATCTTCTATGATTTCTCTCCACGTAATTTTAGAACTTTACAATTCACAAGACCCAGTGTGAGCTGGTCCTGTCTCCCTTTCTCTACCCCAATCCCATTAACCATCAAAGTATAGAAGTCTGGCCAGGCTCATGACTTTCTTAACTACTCCAATCTTTTATATAACTTAGCTTGTGGAAATTGCCCCCTTGTCCACACCCCTCCCATTCTTCAAGTCCTTTACTCTGTGCTTAATACTAATCACTAATACTAATCACAGTTTTTAGGCAGGTGTTCTCTGTCTGTCAGATCCAGAATAGTGTAATCTCTGAGATTAAGGGCAATTTGTTTACTTCTGCACATTCAGCACTTAACAGATCCCGGCACATCGTAGGTACACAAAAAGTCTGCAACAAATTCATGGGTGGCAAAGACCTTAGAAGAACAGGGAAAAGAGATGACATTGACATTTATAGAAGGAAACAAAGGACAGATTTGAGGAAATGACATTTGAAAACTGGCCTAAAAAATTCTTATACTGTGGAAAGACAGAAATGGATACAGGATCAGAGGTTTGCAAATAGGATAAAAAATGAGGACTGTCTATGAGAATGTGGATTTTAATATTCTCTGTTACTATTACTCTGTTATTTGGGGATGGGCATGTCTAAATGAGAAAGGGAAACAACATTAGCATGTTGGGTTGGAGTCAAGTGGAGAAGGACATCTGTGATATGTGATGATATCATTTAGAGAGAAAAGAGATCTTGATTTCTCACTCAGATCTGTTATCCAATGTAGCTCATTATCTAAGTCACTTAAGCATCTGTATAGTTTTCATTCATAACCTTGGGCAGCTGTCCTCATTTTTAATTTCTTACTTAGATTTTATAGGGATTGGAATTATTCTTATGAAATTCTTTGAAACAAAATGCTGTGCCAATGTGTATGCATTTTCTATAAAATATTATCACACAGATGTATACATTCCATCATATAAATTTTTGTGTAGCAAAGAAAATCAATCCCATAAGACTTCTTATGTCATTTAGCATTCCTCCATGCTTTTAAAATGACTTAAGTATAATGATGTCTCTCACCTTGCTGAGAGTCCCCAGTGAATTCTCCAGCAGCAACTGAATATCCTATATTAAAGAAAAGAAACAAAGGAATTGCATTTGACAAGAAATGTGTCAATATTTAGAAAATAATGAAAGTGCTACCATGGTAGTATTTTATTCCGAATTAAAAAATTACAGATTCATTTAGCAGAAAAAATAATCACAGCAATATGAACACTTTCAGACTAATTCTCAGTTATAAAGAAGAGCTGCTACATTGTTCTTAAATAAAAATATGACCAAAAAAAAGGCAGATTCTTAGATCAGCCTTCAGAGCATGCTCATCAGCCCCTTTAAGTGGGAGTGGCATCTGTTGCATTCCTCACCATGAAGCAGAGTTCCTATGAGACATCCTTTGTGTTCAGGTTTTGCCATGGATCACGATCATGAGCTACTTCTTAATTCCTTTCAAGACTGTGGCCCACAGATGTCATTGAGCTCAAAAGCAAGGTTCCATTTGCATTGACAAAACAAAGCCATAATTTAATTTTTCAATGCACAGAGCAATCAAAATTGGTTGCACACCAAAGGTGGGTAACAGTAATAGTAAATGGATATCATGTGGTTTGCATATGATATGATTTGAGACCAGTCTTGAATCTAGGAAGATTCTTTCTGATTTTGTTGAAACTGGACCGGGCTGCTAGCATGTTGCCCCATAGCATGAGCAGAAGCCCTGCTACTACAAATGTCTTCTTCCAGCAATCTTTCATAAGAACCTGTTAAAGAACCTACAAAATAGCAGCTTGAATCATGTATGTTATATATTATGTCTGGGGAAAAAAAAACAAGTTGTGGTGAAAAAGAAAAAGTAAGGGTCTACTCAATAAGAAAGAAAACTTTCAAAAGATGTCAGGTGACATCACATAAGTCAGGACTAAACATTTCACATGCATTTAATTTGCTTGCCTTTTGAGAAAGTACAAACATCTGGAGCCATGGTTCTTACCGAGGTAGCTGTCATCGTAGGAAGCTGGAGCCACATCAGTCTGCTTTTCTCCTGCCAGTTTTCTTAGAATATCCTTGAATGAGTAATTTGCAATGATATCTGCTACACTGACAGTGATCACCTGTCCTGTGTTTGAACAAATTAATACATCCACTGAATAGATGCAAGGGAGGGGCAGGCTCTTACTCAGCAAACATGAAACCACACCACACACTCCTGAATGTCCCTACCTCCCCCAAGAACTGACAGGTAGAGGTTAGTTGTAACTAACTGGGTAGAACTTTCCAATCTAGTAGGAGGACACAGATAAATGGCAGTGTTTTATCCATTCTTCCTGTACTCTTAATGTATATCCCCTCTCTGCCTTCAAATGATAAAAGTATGAATGAATAAGGATACTTGCAAGGAAAATTTATGTTTAAATTTGTATTCTAGAGTTGAGGATGGTGTTCATTTCAGAGACTGCCTACCTAGTATGCATGAAGCCCTGGGTTCAATCCCTAGCTCAACATAAAACTGAGCAGGGAGACACATGCCTCTAATCTCAGCACTTCAGAAGTAGAGGCAGAAGGATCAGAAGTTCAAGATCATCATGGGCTACACAATAGGTTTGAGCTCACGCGGGGCTGAAGGAGAGCTTGTCTCAAAAACAAACAACAACAAAACAAAATGATAATGTTCAAGCCAGAAGGAAATTTAACATCAACCAGTCATATATAAATGTCTTATGCTCAAAGAACTCGATACCATTCTGCAAGGTCACATAGTTTTGCTAGGGGCTATACACCTAGTCTCCTTGTCATTCTAATACGGAGTTTTGTTTTCTTGCAAAGAATATATGTGGAACTCACTTACTTGACAGATAGGAAAGATTCCAGCTAAGTTAAGGGAAGGATCTAATAAATCTTTGAGCCATTTACATTTATTGCAAAAATATAGAGAGTAAACATAAGATTATTACAGTAAGAAGCAGCTGTGTCCAATGAGATCTAAAATTTCACACACAAAAAAGAAATTTGTGGTCACCAACATTGTTAAGAACGTTGGCTCGTTTCTCCCAAAGTCACTTTCAGAAGTCTTGAAATATGGTTGTATTGAGACACACAAAATTCTAAAATACATCATTATATGGAAAAGTCTATGCATCCGAATATTTAGTGTGGACATCTAAGGCAAAAATGTCATCTCATGCTCTTTGAGACAAGGTGGGAGAAATGGTTTTGAAAGCATGGTACTTAACACATAATTTATAGCTACATTATTCTTTGGGAATTCCCAGTCTTTTTGGTTGAAGTCCAAGGAAAGAATAAAATCCTATCAAACTAGGTTATAAATATTTCTACGTAATGGAGATGAATGACTGCTTTGATATCAAGACAATGAGATTTATACTCGAGCTTGTGAAGAATGTCGAATTTGCCAGTTTTCTCCGACTTTCAGCTCAGTGTTCCCTTTCCTTCCTTCCACATCCTGACAATTTCTTGTTTTCATTAGCAAGGTCTATAAACATCTTAAGCATCTATAAGATTTTAAATCTTGTATCTCAGAGAAGTTGTTCTGTATGCTTACATGACTATTAATTCATGTGAGATATTTTCCTACTTTAAATGTAGAAATTAATTACATGAAATGAATCAAGATTAGAAGGAAATATTTACACACATGTAAATAATTTTCAATTTACATCTATCTCTGGCATAAGACTTTTTTCAGTTTGCAAAATAATTTTAAGAGAATGAAATGCTATTTGATGTTTGTAATTACATGTCAATAAAGTTTAACAGCAATTTCATATACAAATTAGTCATAAATCTGACTTTCTGTATCCTTCCCACTGGCCTAATTTTTTTTAGTGTGCATGCGTGTGTGTGTGTGTGTGTGTGTGTGTGTGTGTGTGTGTGTGTGTGTGTGTTAGGGACTATATGTATCCATGTGTGCATACAGACTAGACAAGTGACCTGCTAGATCATAAGAGACCCTGCCCCAAGGCCATAAGTCAGTGAACGCTAACACAGCCCCAACAAACCTTCAAGACAAACAACAACAAGTCTGTCCTCAGTGTAGTGTCTCCAGCATCGAATACAAAACCTGGCATAGCTTCAACAAATTCTTGGTAAAGCAATGAGTAGTAGACTGAATAACACTTTAGAAACATCATTTGCACAACGAAGTGCAAATTGCAATGATGCTTCAGTCAGGAAAGTGTGAGCAGGGATTTCCGATGCCACTAGGAAAGGGCAACAACATTTGATGTTGCTTGTGCTCCCCCCTGTTAGTAACAACGTGCTTTTCCTCTGATAGGGAACATACCTTGCCAATAAAAGCTTCCAGGTCCTCCCACTATAAGGTCTCCATTCTGCAAAACAGAAGCATCCAGGGAATGTGTGGACAAGAAGCCAAGTGGTTTAAAGGGCACCGAGTTACCTCTAACAAGCTGTGCTTCAACAGTGTGTTCCTCGTAAAACCACACTTCCTTAAAGAGGACTTTAAACCACACTTTCCTTATACCTGAGACATGGAGGTTGTTTTCTTCTCTTCTTTACTTTCAATTATTTAGTGTGTTATGTTAAATAATTTCAATTTGACTCAGTTAGGCATGTTGGCCTTGCTCCCTTGAGACTATATAAATTCAGAGGAGGGGGCTGCCACTGCTGGAGCTGAGCAAGGCCTGTACATTAAGTTTGCAGCTTAATGGGCATAGTCTTTTGAAAACCTTAGTGACAAAAACCCAAAAGCTTCATTTCAATTATTTTCAAGGCAACAATAATGACTGCTTTAAAAATATATCTACTGCCGGCAAGATGGCTCCCTGGGTAAAGGCACTTGTCATCCAGCTCAACAATCTGAATTGATTTTTGCAACTCACATGGTAGAAGGAGAAAACTGAGTCCCTAGATTTGCCTTCTGAGCTCCCCCGCCCCGACTCTAAAAGGCACTTCTCTCCAATAAGTAAATAAAAAAATGTAAAATTATTTTTTTTAATCTGTAAACCCAGCCCTTTTCAAAAGAGAAAGCAAAATCTCCAGATTAGCAAATGCGAGCAGCCCTGTTCTCTAGCTTCAATCTGTAACTTGTAGTGGAAAAATATCAAAGCAAGCAATCATAGAAAAATGCAGTGAACCAGTAGTAAAACAGAGCACATGTTTATGGAATTTCCCTGTGCTAATTTCAAAAGCATAGAATCATTTTCCTTCATATGTGTATCAAGTGCTCTCTGCTTTCTGAATTGGATATATAAATTTTAATGTGAATATTAAATCAAAGCAGCCAGTTATGGTTAAGTGATAAGGTGACTGATTTATAGATTCTTGTGATCTTTTTAGAAATGAGTTTTTGAGATTTGCATTCAAAACGATTAATGCTGAGAGTGGAAAGAAAGAGTCCCTTCATTCTGTGTGCTTTTCTATACTATTATCATATGCATAGATTGAAATAGAAATAAAGAGTGAATAGGGAAAAAACAAAAAACACCCAAAGAGAAGTTGCCAGACATGATATGCTCCCAAAGCTTCTTTGGCTATTATTGTTGGGGGGGGGGGGGTTGGGATGAAAGACAGAAAATAAAACAGTAGCAATGACGAGAAAACTCATCCCACACCAGATGCTGAGAGACCAAAAGATTCACCTTGTAGAAGTCCAGACTGAAGCCTGCTTGGCAGTAACCTTGGCCTTCAGGATCAGCATTGCCTGGAATGATCAAAACATAGACCAGCTATAATGTCATCATTGCTGAGAAATATCTTAAAAAGCAATACAGATTATTTTGCTATTTCCCTCATATACCACTGAATCAAAGAGACAAATTTGTGTTTTATTTTATTTTATTTTATTTATTTATTTATTTATTTTGGTTTTTCAAGACAGGGTTTCTCTGTGTAGCTTTGCTCCTTTCCTGGACTCGCTTTGGAGACCAGGCTGGCCTCAAACTCACAGAGATCCGCCTACCTCTGCCTCCCGAGTGCTGGAATTAAAGGCATGCACCACCACCGCCTGGCTGTTTTATTCTTAAAATGCCTTCCAGGCAATTAAGTATATTTCCATGTATTTTCTGATCCTGAATATCATGCAGCAGTGAGATCAACTTGAGTGGGTTATGATATTAGGTCTATTGAGCACAGGGCACACAAACCATTCTCCAATTGGGGAACATATCAAAGTATGGGTTTATATTGGGGTGTACACTCATATTCACTTCCAAAACAAAACCTTCATCTTCTGATTGTGTCCTCAAATGTCCATGTGGTCATAATGTCTCCTTTGCCCACTCCTGAAGTATCTGCCATTTCTACAGTGACAACTTAAAAAGATCACCTGAGAGCATGCTTTCTGCAGGGAAACTGGTAAAGATTTCCTTCATTCTTCATGCACAGGCTGGCCTCAAACTCTCTATGCAGCTGAAGATGAGCTTGCACTTCTGAACCTCCTGCCTCTACCTCTCGAGTACTGCAATTACAACTGGCAACTACTCCAGCCAACTGATGTAGTGCTAGGACCAAACCCAGGGTTTCATGACTGCTACGCAAGTACTCTACCAACCTGGCTACATCTCCAGCTCCTATTTCCATTTTTATGCTCTTTAAAAGGACCATAATTTTAAATTATTATATTGTAATAAGTTAGGCTAGTTTGAAAACTCTATTCTGATTCTTATGATCTCACAGGGGCACTGCAATGCTCATGTCTGCAGAAGAGAAGCCCTCCAACAATGGTTGGTTTTGTATTCTCTATACCAACTAAAGACCCAGTGGGATCTTGTCAGACATTTTTATAAACTATAGGCTTTATATTGAGTACATGGACTCCAGGGTTATTGTTACTGAACTCTGTGGGATATTAAGATAATAAATGTATTCCCTATAACCTGTACTTTGAAAGAGGCCCTGCACCTTCTAACATATCTGAATTACAGTCAAAATGTAGTTAAGTAGGGGGGAATCTCAGTTATTATGTAGTTAGATAAGAGCATGCTAATGATTCCACGTTTCTTACTGAGGATATCATTCAAGCAATACTACAGCGAGGAAGCAAGAAAGGAGCAAACATCGCTGTAGGAAATTCTGATAGGCTGGGCATGCCCCTGTTCCAGAATATCTCTAAAATGCATCGGATCCTTCTGCCTTTCTAGAACATTATCAATTTTCTGTCTTCCAACAAGATCATAGTTCTATTTTCTCCCATCAATTCTGTGCAGACACCCCTTTTGTCCTGTTTGTTTCTTTGTTTGTTTGTTGAGACAGCGTCTCCTGCGGCCCAGGCTGCCCTGGAGCCTGCCATGTAGCAGAGAATGACCTCAAACTCCCAGTCTTCCTGCTTCTATCTCCAAGTCTTGGAATGACAGGCATTTATCACTACACCTAATTTTACTCCCTTTGTGTTTCAAATACTTTACTACCCAATATAATGTCTTTCACAAGATTTATTGTTTCCTTTACAACTGTATGTTAGGATTGATGGTTATGAATATTATCAGCTTCCCTAAAATCCCATCTGTATAACCTCAATTTATGGGGTTCTAATTTTCTAGAAGCCCAATGGTATAAAATTTACACCCATCCAGAAATATACATGAATATATGATGTAGTCAATGTGAACCCATGTAGATTGCATTGATTACATTTAAGGAATGATTTATAAACAAACCTTCTTTAAAGTCTACTTTTGAAATTGGTTCTTTATTTTTAATATTGTAAATTATTCAGAAGAGAAGAAACCTGACCATTCTTTACTTATAGCAGGACACTGATTTTTTGTTTTAAATCTCTAACTGAAAATAAGTCATTGAGAAAATAATCAACTTCCAGTGTTTGTTTTGAGTGGCAATTAGAGAAGATTATGGATTCTTTATTCAGTGAGTTTGCTTCCCTTTTCTCATTTGAAATATAACTTATGAGACCCAAAGGAGTCTCTCTTCCTGGAACCTCAGAATGTCTCTAAACATTATGTCCCAGTATAAACTCAGGAACCCAGGGACATGTGCTGTTCATGTTCATTCACTACCAATGGTTAACTGCTAAAGTGAAATTGAAGGGCTGTGAGAACCGCCCTCACCTGAATTATGAATGGTCATAAGAGCTGAAGGCACACCACTCAGATAAATGAGCAGGCTACCACCCACACTGCTCACAGTGCCCCCTGGATCTGTGCTGTAGAAGTAATGTAAGACACTTCTTTCAGTTCTCTTTTGAAAAGGATATTGCTGATATTCCCTCTCTGTGATATTGACCATATGGTCATGAACAAGTAGGCTTTGTGTTAGTGGACTGTGAGCTTCTCTGTCATGACAGGAAGCCAGCTCTTTGGGTGATTTGAAGAGGAGGAAGTGTGAGTATATGAAAAGTGTTGGTGTGCCCTAGAGCCAAATAATGCTTAATGAACTAGTCCACAGCTCCACCTAAGCTCCATTTCATATTGGCCCTGCATATTTCTACATGGGAAAATGGAGAATAAAGAGACATGCATGATGATGTGTCCAGAAAGCTCAAAATTCTTGGCTACTATAATGGATAGTTTTAGTAAATAGTTCAAGCTCATGCTGTAACAGACACCTCACAAGTTGAGATTCTGTGGGCTATGACTTAGCCCAGGCTCTCAAGACACAAGGACATAAGGTATAAGGGCAGAGTGAGACACAGTGACAAGTTTCACAAGTGAACTTCATGATAGCCAGAAGATTCTAAGTCATCAGGGCCAATGGGTATGTGAAGGATGCCATCATTTCCTGATGTGAGGAAACACCTCCAGCGAACCCTGAGGAATACACACAGATGTAAGCATTGGTGAGAAGTCTAGTAAGGATTCTCTTTAGTGCAATAATACTGGCCTCTTATCTGGTGAGGATTATGGCCACTTCCCAGCTGTTTGTTACCAGTATTCATAGTTCTTCCTTTCCAATGTCCTCTGCTGAAAAAAATCTTTCCTATAACCCTTTCTGAAGAGTTTCCTTTTTCCTTGTTCCTGAAGACTCAGGTCATTCTTTTACCTTTTCCATTGCTTATAGACCTAATTATTTATTTATGTACCATTTTACTACTTAATATTATATTATGAGTTTGTTTATTTTGGTTTCTACCCTCTCTTTCCTACTAAAATGCTCATTCTTTACACGCTGTTGGTTTGCTTTCTATAGCTCCTTGACACACTCACTCATTACATATAGAATAGTTGGTGTCAATGTGTTCAGTAAATGTGTGTTAAATGAACAATTGAGTCTCATTCTCAACAAAGGACATTTATTTTAAAGCTGTTTGATATAACATTTTTAATCTCAGACCATTCATCCAGATCACACGTAGGAAATCATACTATGTTTCCTGCCAAAACCCTCATGAAAAACTCTTAGGTTTAAAAAGCTCAGGTTTGGTTTGGAGCTATAAATCCTAGTGTCTTCTTTATTAACTCTTTAAAGTCCCTAATCCATTCTTTATCTTCACTACTTTATTCTGATATTTGCTTGCAGTCTTCCCCAAATTGATCTTGAATCAAAAAAAAATAATGATGATGAGTATGCAAAAGAGTTAAATTTTATTTGCAGTTTTTAGGACAATCTCTAATAACTTCACACTGAATCTTTAAAATATTAGTATTCTAAAATAAGTTACTCTAATTTTCTTTGTAGTGACATTTTCCTCTCTACAATGTATTCCCATTAATTAGAAGAAGGATAATAGAAAGTTCCTTTGTTGCTTATCCACATCTCACAATGATCTAACAAAAACTTAGGAAAATAGAGAAGTTTACAAAAGAATTCCAAGCAGGTAATTGATAACCACACTATCAGTCCTGACTTCCCAAAGTAATTCAACATCAGCATCCCTATGACTGCACTCAGATGTTTGCTTTAAAGGTAGATTGCACTGGTGTGGTAGTGCATGCTTGCTTTCAGCACTTGGGAGACTGAAGCAGGAGAATAAGTAATTTGAGGTCAGCCTGGTCTACATAGCTAGCTCCAAGCCAAGATAAGAGCTACAGAAAGGATGCTGTCCTGGGAGAACCCTTGGACTGCAAGATAAGATTTGAACTCTAAGTGGGCAGACTCTTTTGAGAATAAAGAGGATTCAGCATTTTCAGCAGAAAGTGTAGTATGCAGATAACAAGTACACAGCTACCAAACAAAGCAACAACCACTGGGAACGAAGGCTGTGCAATGCTGCGGTCAGAAAAGACTCCAGCCCAGTCATCCTAACTGATATTACTGTTGCCATAAACAAGTAGGGTGGCTGGTCAGCATCTTGTGGAACACAGAGTGGGGATTTTCAACAGAAGTTGTCAGATAAGGGCCACAGTTATTCTACCAAAGACTATCTAAAAACTGACTTTTAAATCCAGAAGAGCAGCAACACAACTCACATGTGGTTGCTTATTGCCAAGGGTGATGACCCACGTTCCACCCCTAAGACTCACATAGTGGAGAGAACCAACCCTTTATTGTCTTCTACACATATGCTGTGGCATGTATGTATGCACCCTCACACAAAATAAATAAATTTAATAAAATAAAAATAAAGAAAGTATGGTTGTTTGAATGAGAATGGCTCCCGTAGGCTCATATATTTGAATGTTTGGCTCCCAGTTGGTGGAACTCTTTGGGAAGGATTAGGACATGTGTCCTTATTGGAGGAGTTATGTCAGTGGGGGTGGGCTTTGAGGTTTCAAACCAAAACATTCTCAGAGCTCTCATTCCCTCTGCCTCCTACTTGAGGATCAGTTGTAATCTCTCAGCTACTTCTCCAGCACCTTGCCTTCCTGCCTGATGCCATGCTCTCTACCATGTTGGTCATGGACTCATCCTCTGAAAACTGTAAGTCCCAATAAACTCTTTTCTCCGATAAGTTGGTCATGGTGTCTTATCAGAGCAATCTAAAAGTAACTAAGACATAAATAAATATAGATTAGTAGAATTCTGAATCTTGGATATAACTATCACAGCTCTCAAGCTTGGAGGCTTTCAAGCTGAGTTTTACTTTCAAGGAATAAAAACAACTTACTGTTCCGGCAAGGAGAGTGTTCAGCATAAGCACTGAAATTCTGAATTGCTACATAGCATGTGCCAACCGGGTCCTTTGCTGGGTTAGGTTTAAGAGTTCTCCAGTGATACAGAGGGGCACAGGCCTGTGGATACCAAAGGTGAGAAATACAGCGTTGATGTAGTTTTCTCGGACGATGGCTTGATTTGAACTGCTAACCGGTGTAACTAAAGTTATAGGTAATTATGTTAAATTGTTAACAGTGAACTAATTGGCCTCCAGCTAATTTTTAATATTAATGCATTGGAAAATTGTAAAAACTATACATAAACAGAGGGATGACTCTATCCCATGGTAGAATTTTTAATTAAATAAAAAGTAAACTGACAAAAGGAAATTATTTCCTAAAAGCCTAATCTCACATTTTTCTATTCATTCCTTAAAAATGATTGGGCCTCTGAAACAGCAAATGACATTCAGACAGTGAATGAATTAACACTGTGTCCTAAAATAACTCACCCCTTCCTTTGTCTGGTTGTTAATTTTTAAAAATGGCATTCAAGTCAACAGATTCATGCAGGTTTATAAATCTGTTTTGTGGACTGCCTTAGTTTATCACTGCTATGTAGGAGGACTACCTCCTTATCATAGCAATTTTTACTAGTTCATATGTAATGGTTTTTATTCATGGAAAAACTGGAGGTCAAAAAGCACTGAAGATAAGAAGCAAGGCTTCAAAGAGCACATGCTAATGACAGACACACATTTCTAAGGTATTGTGACCACTGGGAAGTAACCCAATACCCTGGTTCTGCCTGCTTTGAAGAAATTTATTCTGATAAACTCCAGTGGCCACAGATAACCTTCATGATGGAGATGAACTACCCAGTCATTCCATAAATATATATTCAATTCTAAAATGACAAAAATCCTGCAGGTTATAAATAAAACATCCCATGATTATTTCCAGGTAAAACATAGAGCAGAAACTTTGAGAAGAATGCATACTATGCAAACCTTTACTCAAACATTAAAGCCTTGCTTAGAATTTATTTAACTGCTGGCCACACTACACATGGAGCTTTGCATGTAAAATCTTTTTAATAAATAAATGTGTGTTGAATGAAATGAAATCCATGCCCTCTAGATAGAAGTTTAAGTGCAGTTGTTTATCAGGTTATTATAAATTAGTTCTTACGTCTTGGGTTTTATGGTATGTAATTTGTCATATCAGATACTTATTTGATGACTTACTTACATGTTCTAATTTTAGGACTCTGGCGAAATCAAAAACATACTTGTTAAATTATGCCTTGTAATGCCAATTCAAGGAATATATTAGGGTGAAACGAGAGAACTGCCTTCAAATTAGCTTGCTTAATATCAGGAGTTTTACCAGCAAAAGTTAATTTTAGCAATAATAAAAAAGTGTGCTTCATTCATGGCATGATCTGGTTTCTTCTTCTTTTAGTTAATCTGTTTTATAAACTTTAGTATAAAAAAATCTTGCAAATAAAATAAACATTACACACCAAAATTAACCAGACCCAAAGTCTATACATCTCAATGAACAGCTAGAGTAGCCATTCTGAAGCTGTGGAACTTCATACTGGGTTTTACACTTTGAATATTTCATGTATTTTTAGGCACTTATCCACCACTAAAAATGAAAAATGTGTGGCAGAATTAGAAATAGAAAAATAAATAGATTTATATCCTCTTTCATGACCTGTGTTCAACAACTGCATTGAGTCATTTCACAAAAAAACCCAAATCCTTCAGATCTATTAAAAAGTCATTCATTTCTCAGTAGTTTAGACACATAGAACTCTACAGCAATAAGAGAATAAAATCAAAGTCATAGGTAGCATTTGAGAGCAGACAGATCCCAACCTAAGAGTGGGATTGTTTACTTTAAAAATCATTAATGAATTCAGAAACTTTGGTCAGCGGGTAGTTTTTAAAGGTCTTACTATTAAGAAAACCTTTTCTTTTCTTCTAAAGAAGATCCCACAGCAAATGAACATTTAAACAACCGTAGAGTCATTTCTCTAGACCTGTTTTTCTCTGGTTCAACTTTAAGTAGCTCTTTAAATTGATCTTGAACAATAAGGTGTTTACTCCCTCAGGGTGTCACTTTTAATTTTCCATCTTTCCTAGTAATTTTTAAAATGTTTGCAAATATCTGGGATTATAGAGGAGGAAAGGGCTTCATTTCCTATAGCTTTGAGCACAATTTTAAAAAACGGATTCTTTAATTTCAGTCATTGACTGTCTGGTTTTACACACTGTGTTCTTTAAGCAGCCAGATAGTCTACCAGCACATCCCTCTAGAAAAGGGTTTGTATAAATCAGGCATTAAACCGTGTGATGTGCAAGGCAAACAGTTCCCCAGACCATTCATACTTACCACGACTTTTCCTTTGTGAGCTCTCACTGTTGCTCCAAACCACTGGTTTGATTTAAACTCTATAGGTTCTTTGGTTCCATTCACTCTGATTTTCCTGTTGTCTGACAAGAATGATGATGTATTAAGTATGACACCCAGTTAAAATTACAGCAATAAATTTATACATTAAGGCACCACCAAAAGAATGAATGCCAAACTTTCTTAAACTTGTCTAAAATGTTGGAAGAGGAGCAAACATTTCCAAGGGGCAGAAATATCCTGATATCAAAGCCAAATAAAGACCCTACAAGAAAAGAAACCCATGCCATCATTTCATATGTGTACACAATCATTGCCATTGTTCAGCATTCTGTCATGTTCAAAACTCTCAATTATTAGGGATGGCAGGAAGAACCCAACAGAGGCCATATATCACAAGTTAGTATCACACTCCATGGTGTAAAGTTAAAACTATACATCTAGGATAAGAAAGCAGAAAGGACACCCACTCCTTTAGTTTATTCATGTGTGTGCTGTGTGTCCCTGCTTGTCTGTATGGGCACATGTGAACAGTGCCCACAGAGGCTGGAGGAGGGCATCAGAGCCCCTGGAACTGGAGTTACAAGCAGTTGTGAGCTTCCCCATATAGGTGCTGTAAACTGAACCTGGGTCCTCTGCAAAAGGAGAAAGTGCTTTTAACTCCTGAGCAGTCTCCAAAGACCCCACCCTGTCCACCTACATTCAAGCAAAATATTAGAAACATGTAGGGGTATAAGACAAGAAAAAGAAAGAAAAGGCATCTAAATCAGAAAGGAAGTAAAATAATTCTTTGTGCAGATAATATGGCCTTATATGTGGAAAACACTAAGTGTTCCAGGAAAAAAAAGAAATAAAATTTTGGGCCAGGCAGTGGTGATGCACTTTTAATCCCAGCATTCAGGAGGCAGAGGCAGACAGATCTCTGTGAGTTTGAGGACAGCCTGGTCTACAAAGCAAGTTCCAGGACAGCCAGGACTGTAACACAGAGAAACTCTGTCTCTAAAAACAAAAAAAAAAATTTGATAAAATTGCAAGATACAAAATTAGCAAAGAAATTAAGAGTACTTGTTCTGAATATGTAAAGCCCTGGTTTATGTTACAGCTACACACTTGCATGTGTGTGCGTGCATGTGCACATACACACACACACACACACACACACACACACACACACACACACACACAAGAAAGAAAGGAATCAGAACTGACAATGGTCCACAAACTTATAATCCAGTCTTGATGGAAGCTGAAGCAGGAGAATTTGAGGAAACCTGTGCTACACAGAACTTTCAAAACCAGTTTGGACTGTGTAGGGAGACTTTTGAAATCTACAAAAATATCAGTGCTATTATTACATACTAAAGAACTATCTGTGAATGAATTAAAACAATCAAACACAATAGTGTCAAAATTTCTGTAAAGAATTTGTAGAAAAAGTAAAACATTATATGTCAAAACCATAAAATATTGATGAAAGAAACTGATGAAGACAAAAAAAATCAGTGGAAAAGATAGCCCATGTTCCTGGGTTGGAAAAATTTCTACTGTTAAAGTGACCATGATACCCAACATGATTACAGACTTGATGCGATCCCTGTAAAAACTCTAATGAGGTTCTTCACAGAAAGAAAAATTCATAATGAATAACAAAGATCCCACAGAGCCAAAGCAATCATAAACAAAACGGACAAACCTAGAGACATTGCTCTACTTAACTTTAAAATGTGATACACTGAATAATTATGGAAATCAAAATAGCATCATACTGGCATTTAAAACAGGCACAAGGGCCAGTGGAAGAGGACAGAGAGTGCAGAGATAAACTCACACATTTTCAGTTTCTCTAGCTGACCTTCAACAAAGGTATTAAGAACATACAACAGAGAGTAGATAGCTTCTCAACAAATGGTTGAAACAACTAGATATCCACATACAGAAGAAAGAAATTGGGCCCCATCTCATACAAACCCACATACAAAACCCACTCAAAATGGATTACAACTGTAAACTACTGGGAGAATATAGAGGGAAAAGTTTACGGCATTTCTTTGCACATGAGCCCAATGGCACAAGCAAAAAAGTACAAATAGACAATGGAATTGTATCAAAGTACAGTGAAGAGACCGTTGGTGGTGTTGAAGAAAATATTCGCAAACCATACATCTGATAAGGGAATACCTTAACTGTTTAAGAAATTCAAGCAACTCAATAGCAAGACAGCAATAACACCAATTAAAAACTGAACAAAGGACCTGAACAAGGATTTCTCAAAAGGAGATACCAAAATGACAAACAGGTAAATGAAAATGTGCTCAGTATACTAGTCATCAGGGAAATGAAAATTCATACCACAGCGAGATATCAACTTTATTACTAAAGGGACTAGAGCAGATTCTGGTGAGAACGTGAGAAAAGAAACCTTTATACCAGCTGGGTATGGACATACACTGGTCCACCTGCGGTGGAAAATAATATGCAAGGTCTTTTAAAAATTGAAAACAGAACTACCACATGATCCAGAAGCCCTTTCTTCCAATGTCCATATCTTCCCCAAAAAGGAGTATGTTGACAAGCTAGCCTTACTTCATGTTCATGATGGCATAACTCACAATAGCCAAGATATGGAGTCCTCTTTAGTGTGTGCCAGTAGATGAAGGAATAAGAAATGTGATTCAAAAACACAGCAGATTATTTGACCTGATAAAAGAAGAAAATCCTATTATTTGCAACAATGGGTGAATCTGTTGTATATTATGTTAGTCAGAAACACACACACACACACACACACACACACACACACACACACACACACAGTGCATGAGCACAACTGTGGGTGGAATATAAAGAAACCAAACTTACAGAAGCATGTGGTACAGTGGTATTAGAGGGTGCTGCAGAGGTGTGGTCAAAAGGTGACAAGTTGTAGCTAGGAGGCATACATTCAGAAGCTTTATCATACAGTATGTCACCAATAGTTTTCAATGATTTAGTATATGCCGGGGATTCCAAGAGAATAGATTTTTGAATGGTATTATCAATAGAAAAATGTGAATGATATTAGGTGACCGTTGTTTGAATGAGAAACGACCTTCGTAGGCTCACGTATTTGAGCGCTTGGTTCCAAGGTGGTGGCACTGTTTGGGGAGGTTATAGTACAGCCTTGCTGGAGAAGGAGAGCCACGGGTGGAAGGCTTTGAGGATTGATAGCTACCGCCTACTCCCAGCCCCCGACCCCCTGATCCCTAGGCATAGATGAAACCCAGTCAGTCAATTTACTGCTCCTGCTCTCCTACAGATCCCGTCATGATAGGCTCTGCTCTTCTGGAAGCATGAGCCAAAAACGAACTATCTTCCCCAAGTTGTTTTTGGCTATAGTGTTTTATCACAGCAACATACAAGTAAGTAATACACTGATAGGTACATTAAGTAGTTTGATTTAGATTTTCTACAGTATATATATCAAAGTATCACATTATATACTATATATATGTGTGTGTACTTCTACTTGTCAATTTAAATATATTTGAAAACTAATTTTAATACACTGTGGGAATGTCTCTGTAAGTCTAAGCTACAAGATGGTTTTAAGGCTGGAACTATGGCTCAGTTGTAGAGTGCTTGCTTAGCATGCATCGGTTCTAGTTCCCCAGCGCTGAAAAGAAAAGTAGCTTGCCTGAGGGTGGCTTTCATTATACACATACAACATGAAAACATGTATATGACATCTGACAACTTAAAGGAAGCTTTCCCTTACCTTTCACATCGCAGAGATAACTCTAGCTTCCACATAACGTGGGCTCTGAGCATCTTGTACATGTAAGTTATTCCTGATAGGACATCAAATCATTGTCACTTCTTTGAAGAAAGCTAAATCTTTTTCAATAGTAAAACATGTAAGATTCTTCCTGTGAGGCTAGAGTGATTGCTCAGCTATTAAGAGTGTTTGCTACCCACCCAGAGGACAAGAAGCCAGTTCCCAGCACCCATGGGGCACTCACAACCAACTACCTATAACCTCAGTTTCAGGGGATCCAATATCGTCTTCTGGACTTCTCAGGCACCCATGAACACAGGTGGTACACACCCACACAGAAACACAAATACATCACATAATAAAAATAAATCTTAAAAACAAACACCCTTCTTCCTGGCCAGATGGACGCCAATTGTTTCAGCATGCATCAGAAACCAGCATGAAGGGGTGCTCAAGGTTGACTTTTAACTGAGGAGCATGTGTTCATACTACCACCGAAGATAATGCCCCAGCACAGTTTTCCATCCCTTTTGCAGATCTTAGCCTGAAGAGGCTAGATAAGAAGAAACTCCACCCAAGTGTAACATACATCAGGTCCTAATCAAAAGCAGCAATCAGTCCTTTCACCCTTGGCTCCTAGTCAGCTGACTTGCCATGTGACTTCATCTGCCCATTTCAAGACACTCTAAAGTAATAGCTAAGGAATTCCTAAGGACATTTGTCCTAAACCATCTTATCTGCATGTGTTTCCTCTCATACAGATTTTTATTTTTCTTCCTTGCCTCTCAAATAAATAAGTTACAAAATGAAGTTTTAAGTCCTATTAGGTAAGGCCAAAATAAACACCTAATTAAGACTTCAGCCGAGTTTACTTATGACTACAGACATTTTTTAAAAGAATAATGTATTCAATCTGAATCTAAAATTTACATTGTGACATGTTAGTAGAAAATCATGAATTTCCTTTTCAAAAATCTTAGCTTTGATGTTTCTGGAGTTTTTTTTTTTTTTTTAAAGAGACAAGTTCTGGAAATTTTCACCCACATGCACACAACTGGCAAAGAATTACAGCATCTTGGAGCTTAAAGCCTGAAATGGAATTCATAAACACTGCTGTTTATGTCTAGGAGGTATGGGTGACCAAAAACTCAAAGCCGAGGGATCTTGCCTCCACTAACTGAGTGCTCTTGGCTGATTTCTTCAACCTTTGGGAGTTCTCAATCCTTTTGTTTGAGGCTGATCTGACACTTTGCAGGTGATCAAAAGTCACCAAGATCATAAGCAGGAGTTGGCATAAAAGATATTTATAAATTGAGAGTCACATTAAGC